AAACATAAATCACTTAATAGTTGGTAAACAGTGTTTGCTGGGTTTACATTTGTAAAGAAAAATCATTAAAATTGGTTTCTATGATCCATAATCCACATAATACATTTAGTTGATTTCTCCTTTTCCCCAAAATGTCTTCTTTGCAAACTTTGAATACAGATCTTATTATTTTGATAAATAACAGTTACATATATGATTTACCCCCAATATTCCTAGAAATAATGATCACATCAATATAATATTTCTTTTCTATCTAATCATTCTGGTTGCCTCATCTTATATATCCTGTTACAGTCCTTATTTAGATTTGTTTCTCCCATAAAGTTCAAAGTATTCTTGCTGGTTAAGATTTTCTCAACAGTTAATTACATTTAAAGATTGAAATCCATTTTTCCCATATAAACCATATCAACACTTTTACATTTCTTGAAGAATAGGTAAAAACAGTAAACAAAAGGAAAAGAGAGCAAAAGTAAAGAAACATAAAAAAGTAAAATACTACTTAAAATATATATTCCTCCTAAGCTAATATATATTCATTCCCAAAATTTCTTATTCTTTTTAACCACAATTAAAAATATATTTAATCTTTAAATATTCCATTTAATGTGTCTAATCATCTAATCCTTTAACTCTTATTCAAAACATTTTTTCTTTTTTATACATTATAATTTCCCTAAATTCGAACACATTGAATTATCTAAAACATTTCCTTCATCTACGCCATTTCAACAGTATTATATTATTTATATCAAGAAATAAAATAATAAAGGGGGGGGAAGTATACAGTATTATTTAAGGAATTCATCCCTCTTAGAATGACATATGTATTTAGAATCTTTTCTATTTCTTTAACCATATTCAAACAAATGTTTCTTTTTTATGTATTCTTTCTGGTAGACCCCATCATCTATTTTCTTAATTTTCACTTTAATCTTTTTCCTTTGACCAGTATCTTTCTTGATCAATGTATTTTGCTGAATCAAATTTTTTTTCCATATATTCATGACTGTTGCTGTAGGTATAAGAAGTAAATCGAATAAAGTGTCTTTATATGAGGCTTTTGCCTTTCCATGTTTCTTGAAAATATTTTTCTTTTTCTCCTTCTTTTATCACTTCCTTTCTCTGATGTTTTCAACATCTCTACATTCCATTTTATCCCATCTATTTTTTTGTCCTCAGATTTATTTTGTAGTCTTAAGGGATGAGTTATTTTTTTCCATTTCTTGTAAATTTTTTCCCACTAGGATTAAATCATGTTTTCTTGCTTTGTTAAGTTTCGTCTTTGAGTCTGTATTTTCAATTTTATGTCCACTTATTTGTTTTGTCTACTCCTTCTCTGTTGTTGTTTTCTGGAGGTTTTTTGTTGTTGTAGAGTTAACTTAGAAATAGATTGATTTATATTTTCAAATTTATTTTGGATTTCTTTGTGATTTGAACTCAGTGTTATTTGAATTAATTGCAGTATACTATATATCTCCTGAGAGGTATCTATGTTTTCTTGGTGTGTTGTATCTATATGTCTCTGATCCATGATGGCCAAAAGTTGAAGTTTTCCTTCTTATCTGCAAATAGCTTTAGAGTCCTGGTTAAATATATATTTGTAATCCAATGAGTTCAAAAAAGATTTTTTTTTCTAAAGTTTATAATTCTCTCTTTGTCTGCAGCCCAGATTGTTGTCTTTTTTGTCACAGCTGTTCTTTGTTATGAAAGCTTTGAAGGTCACAAACACAGATTAGCTTTTCCCAAGTTCTCTATGGAAATCATAACTGTCATAATCTTCATCCACCACTAGGTGTCAGCATTATTTAGTTTTCAATATGAACAATGGTCTTTAAAACGAGAGTCTTAACCATTCAACAATTTTAAACTTGTCCAAAGTTAAATTTTAGCTTTCAAGTTTATAAATTTATTTCACTACCATATATTTTGATCCTCCGTGGAAATTTTAATTCGCTGCTTCCGTTAGTATAAGGGTGGAGCGGAAGTCCTCCTCCTTCACTTTCAGAGGTATTTTGCTTCTTGGGGATCTTTTCCAAGAAATTAAGTGTAGAATAGAAAAAGGAAAATCAGATTCCTCACCCAGTTTCAAGCACACGGTTTACTGTTGTGCTGGTTAGTTCTTTTGGGCTTCGGTTGCAAGTAGCTTGGGCTGATCTGTGAAATACAGCCTTTCTCCTGTCGGGTTAGAAGGCTTTCCCCAAGACGAACGGAACAACCGCCATCATTCCAGAGTTGCCGGGTCACCCTTCTTTCTTCGCTGCCCTCTGGGGTGGCTTGGACCCATTAGGGTCTCCAGGCAGGATGAAAATTAGCCGTGGGATTGCAGCGGTCCCCAAGCCCACGGCCAGTAGCTACTGCGTAGGACCAGAAGTCTCTCCCACTGGAAACATCTTCATTTCAGGCACCAGAAAGACTTTACAGAACACTTTTAAAATTCCAATGCATTTTGTAAAAAAACCAAAAATGCATGTTATTTATTTACTAACTAGCTGGGCACATGCTTGGTATTTACCTAAAAATGAATTTGCAGAAAAGGAGAGCAAATGTTATTCCTTTCCTAATCTCTCTGCCCCTAAACTGGGAATGATTTTCTAGAACCTAATATGACAAGGTGAAGTGAAAAAGAGGTCACATTTCCCCATAAGTTAATACCAGTCTATAAAAATGGAATTCCTATTTAATGTAGCTTTGTCCCTGCTTTTTTTCTTTAGGGTAAATTTTCCCCAAGATAAAATATCTAGTATAGTATTATATTTTTTGTTTCAAGTCAATCTTTATGATCGTAATGTTGTAATGAACATCAGAATTTCAAAATACTTTTGATATACTGTTTGAAAAAAATACGTAAGTCTTCTGTTCTTTTATTGTCCTAACAGGTTCCTGAAATCTGGGATCAAGTTGTCAGAAAAAACTCTGGAAAATGGCAAGCAATTGCCAAGCACCAAGTAAACAATATGTTTAGTCCTTCAGAAGAGGAGCTGAAAAGCCAGGCTTATAGGTAAGATTCATTCATATTTAGCTTCTTTCTTTGTCAAAGATTGTAATTGTTACAATTATCAAGATACATAGAATTAACCTGAAAGCCCACAATTTGAAAAATAAAAAATTCATTTTTTTAATTCAATAAGGTTTAGAAATCATTTACTTAATGTCGTATTCCAAAATCTGAAGTCAATTTCAAAGGGTACTGAAGGGTACTGAAGTCAATTTCATTGGTATAAATTCATTTTTAATAATGTTTTACTAAATATGAAATTAATGTGAGAGTTCCATTTCTATTGTAGTTATCACTGGATAATTGTTGCAGTTGTTGTATTATATGAAGGTTGCTTTCTTTCTTAAATCAGATGGGCAAAGACATATAACCTGGATGTAATGGAAGCCCTAATTCCAGATAAACCCAAGTGTGCAGTATGTGGCTCTGCGGCCACAAAACGCTGCTCCCGTTGTAGGAATGAATGGTATTGCAAACGGTAAGTTTAATACTACTAGTTTTATGTTATCTTAAATCCTCCACTAATCTTATGGTAACATAGATATCGAGAAACAAAAATAATACCAATATTAAAAATATTATAAATACTATAAGATTGAAATGCTAATTTTCATTTAACAAACCCTTACTTTCATTATTCATTTACTGTAAGCATCTCATTAGCTTGAGCTCTGTAAACAAACGTGAATGTATGTATGAGTGTAGAAATATTTTATTGCATTAACATTTTAATAAATTACATCTAATTCTTATGTCCCAAGTTAAAATAAAACCATATTTTATTACATTGGCTTTGTTTGTGAAACAAGTACGGTAGAATTCAAACTTAAACTTTCTCCATAATATGGTTCATAATGTTATCACTAATAACTAGGATACTTAGAACATTTTCTCTTCAGTAGAAAATGGACTCTCCTAATAGTAGAGATTATCCAGAATTGGGTTATTCTTTCTGATTGCTATAAGTCAGAGCTTAACTACTTATGTTACTATTGAGCTTCCAATAGAGAAAACCATGCCAATTTCAATCCTGCCTCTATAAGTAATATGATTGAGATTTATTTTATTATATTACCAAATTTATTTTCTTTCTTTGGTTATCATCTGACAATTCTGTAACAGTAGGACATTAATTGAACAATGACCTCTAAGGGGCTTGAAGTGATCGTGAATATTCAAGTCTATCTATCTCTCTCTCTCTCTCTCTCTCTCTCTCTCTCTCTCTCTCTCTCTCTATCTATCTATCTATCTATCTATCTATCTATCTATCTATCTATCTACTTCTATGTGCCATTTATGTCTGCTTTAAAAGGAATTGTAGCAACTAGCAATATTGCAATCTGCTTCTTCATTACAGGTAATCCCCAAATTATGAGCGTTCACTTAATGCTGATTTGAAGTTACATGATCAGCACCCCCTAGTGTTTACGAGCAAGTCCGAAAATTATGAATATTGCACCATTATGGCAGTCGTTCGCCCTTACGAGCGACTTCAGTGGCACTGCAACATTCACCCTATTCCCCCCCACTCCTCACAATTGCTTTCCCCTCCCTTCCTGCCGCGCCAGACTCACTTACCTTGCAAAAATCCTCTCTGCCGCCTGAACTCGCACGATATTACTGCACCCAGGGGCTTCCCTCGACTCTCCTGTCCCTCAAAAGCAGGGACCGCGGCAGAGAAGAGACGGATCTTTGCAAAGTAAGTGAGTCCGGCGTGGCAAGAAGGGAGGGGGAAGCATGAGGTACCTTAGTGTGTCAGGGAGGCCTGTTCCATCACTAGGCCCGCCATGGCCTTCCCCACCCGATACGTCATGTGCACTTAATGAGCCGCATGCGTTTTAACGAGCAATGGAGTGATCTCGTTTGAGTTACGAGATTCATTCTATCAGTTTCCGAGTTACGAGTGGAATGTGCAGGCTACATTACACTCATAACTCAAGGACTACCTGTACTTCTCTAGATCAGTAGATGGTCTTGTGGGTATTATTTCTCAATAGTAAGATTTGTTCTGACAGTGTTTGGTTACATTTCTCAAAAAGTTAGATACCATATAGTTCTGCTTTAGCAAATTATTTCTCAATAATTTCAGTTGGAATCTATTTTTCCTTGCATTTGTATCCAGTTCAGAATAAAATTGTGTAAAGCATTTGAATGAACACCCCTCCTCAAAAAAATTGGAAAGGCTCACACAGCTGCATCAAAATGTTTTTTGTTTGGTGGTACATACAACTTTACTTAAATGGCAATTCCAATTGTCCATGCACACACGTTCCAAGCTGCTGCCGCCTGGAACGGAGCTTCTGGAATGGAGCTTCCGGAGGTTGGATCCAACCTCCAGAGTCATGTAGAAGTTCGCCCCGACCTCTGCTCCTGGCGCAAACGGCTTGGAGGATCCCTCTGAGGCCTGGATCCAGCCCTCGGAAGCTCTGTTCCAGGTGGCAGCAGCTTGGAGCAGTGTGTTGTGTCCTATATAGATAGATATAGATATATCTTCTATATAGGCTTAACATCCAAATCCCAAATTACCATTTATAAAATCATTTTTATGAATAAAAGAATTTTCATGCTTTGACCTTCATGCAGATATTAACAGTAGTAAGGAAAAATTCTGAATGTTGTTGTAGTTATCATTATCATTACTATTTTTTTCATTTTTTACTCATCTTTAGAGAGTGTCAAGTGCAGCACTGGCAAAAGCACAAGAAAGCTTGCAATTTGATTGCCGATACGGTGAAGAAAATACAGGAAGATGTACAGATGCAAGCAACATCCATTAAGTAATTCTGATGGTCAGAAAAAAATATCTAACAAATACCGTATATAACATTCAGAATGACAGAGTAAAAAAAGCCACCAGGTTAATAATTAATAAAATACACAAGGCTTTTTTTTAAAGCAATTGATTTAGCAAATGTCAGCCAACATGATTCTCGAATTCTAGGAGATAAATCTTAGTAGAGAACTATTTCTGGGGTCATTTATCTCCCTTATGAATATCACTGTCATTTATGTATCCTAAATTTTAGATGAGACTATGCTGTATTGCTCAAGCATTAGTATCAAGCTCTGAATTTTCTAGGAATTTGAAGAGTTAAGTAGGTTATAAATGGAGAGTGTTTTTTGTTTGTCGTTCAAGATTCTTTAGCTTCTGAGGCTTATTTTGTAGATTACCTAACTCTACATACCGTTCCCATGGCATATACACTTAACTAGTATTTCTGCAGAAATGAATGACATCATAGGTAATGAAACTGACTTGCAAAACGTCTTCCTTCTTCTTATAAGCAGAAATAGC